CCACCCGTCTAAGTAAATTTTTTGGATTGGGGCTCAGGCAGCCCGAGAAAATTTGGGTTCGGGCGGGTTCAATTACTGGGTAAAAATACATAATTTTTTATAGTCACAAACGGCCCGTCTAAAAGTTCAGCACTACTCCTGACTAACTCAGCCGCTTTAAGATCAGTAGTGGGAAGAAGGTAGGCTAAGCAAGTTTGGATCAGGTTCCTTAAGGAAGTCAGAGAGCTGGCAATTGATCCAGGCTTCGACGAAGCAAGCTCCCTCGTCGTTGCACTCGATGCAGGTGTTGTCTTTTAACTGACCCGCAAACGGGTAGAAGTGTACTAAAGTTTTGGACAGTGATTTTTGTAAGGAGTTGGAATTCTCCAAATGAGCTGTGGAAGAAGAATCAGAACTCTGGTTAGTGTTTTGAGGCATAGAACAAAATAATAGATGTGTAAAGGGGAGGAACAATTTGGTCCAGAAGAGAGAATTTGAGGTTTCTACACTCTGGAGAAGTTGGGGAGGATGGGCTAATTGCCTTTCTTGAGATAATTTCTATTTTGGCTTTTGTATCCATTCTCTATATTTTTTAGCTTTAGCTAAGCCCTCCTTGAACTCCTCTCTTAAAACAGAGACATTTCTTGGCTGAACATTAAAGAATCAATTGCCCCACCTAAATATGATCTTATCTCCAGTAGTGATGGATCAGGGTACAACTTTAGCAAGTGAAGGGGTTTGGTTTTGTCTTTGTTTTTTTTTTTTTTTTTTTTTTTTTTTCCTTGAAAGTGGTTGGCTTTTCAGGTGTGGATTACAAAAGTAAAATTGTATAAAATAAGGGCTAATTGAGTAGCAAGAACCTTGAATGATTATGCAAATAGCCCCTTTATGTATAAGATGTGTGCATCAACATACATATTACTTTACATATATTCTCACTCCATCCTCTTAGAATATTCTTTGTAGAATTGATATATCCGACACCATGTTTAATGCGGGCCCGACTTTATTAGAGCATATTTAGTAAAAAGAGTTCAAACTCGATTTAAATAATTTTATTATAGTATTTTTTCTCACAAAAATTTAAATTTTAATTCAGGTCATCTCGTTGGGCAATAAGCCGCATCCCAAGAGTCAAAGACACGTGTGAAATCAGCCTTCTACAGCGAATTCTTTTAGGGGGCGTTTGGCATGCAGGAATCAATAGGAATCATATTCTCAAGAAAGTGATGGAGAGTAATATGATTTCTAAGAATAATACATTACTATGTTTGGTTCCATACAAAATTTTTTTTCAAATTCCCAAGAATATTACATTACTGTGTTTGGTTGTTCGCATGGAAGAAGATCCATAATAATATTAATAATATTAATATTAATATTAATATTAATATTAATATTAATATTTTATTAATATTATTATTACTATATTAATAATAATAATAATAATAATAATAATAATAATAATAATAATAATAATAAGATTCCCATGATTTTGAGATTCCCAGGAATTTGAATAACACATGTTGAGTGATATTCAAATTACCTCAAAATGAGGAAAAGTGAATCCCATGATAATCATTTTCCTGAGAATCTAAAAATTATAATTCTTGTACCAAACATGGTAATATTACAAATTCTCATTCTCATCCTTAAAATTACTACATACCAAACGCCCCCTTAAGGACAATCAAGTTAATAAACAACTTTACAATTAGTACGACAAACTTGGTTCCTAGGTCCTTGAAATAAAGCCAAAAGCAAAAAAGAATGCCGGCCCCTTGCAATCCTAACCTTATACTTTATGACGGATTAATGAATGTAGACGGTGAATTGCTCTATTTTAGTATGACCCTGATAATGAAACGAAAAAGGGAGTGATTTTCTTTCCATGACTTTTACCGGGTAAGCAAAAGCAAGCAGTTTTTGGTAAATGACAGGAGAATAAGGGTGTTTTCCCTCGTCTTAAATCAACTGCCTTAGACATTACCTAAAAAAAAAAAAAAAAAAAAAAGGGTTGTCTAAGATGGTCAGAACATCCCCTTTATGGGAATTTTTATATTAGAGAAAGCTATTTTATTCCAACTATAGAAACCGTTGTTTTTAACCATTGGATTAATTTTTATCAATTAAATCTATATATACCTGCATTAAAATTTTACAACATGCGACACATAACTGCTTCTACTGCAAATTAGACCATTAAAAAACTAATTTAACGGTTAAAACACAATTTCTATTGGTGGAGTAAAATAACCTTCTCTACCATAATGCACCTCTCCTCATTTATGGTTAATGAAGGGGGAAAAAAAAGTGGCATTGACTTTCTCCTATCCTATTGCCAAGGGTCAATGTGTTGGCCAATTATGTACCAAGGACAAGCATAGTGGTTGATAATTGTGATTGAGGTGCTTTACCTTTTCTCAAAACTCAAAAGTGGCAACCAGATTCAAATCTATTGTACATTTAACTCCATCTTTGTTTATTCTTAAGGGCATTCATGCTTTTCGTTCTCATCCATAGCTTTGATATCAAGAAAGTACCTGAAATTAGGGTCTCCACTTACAATTCAACCTTTTTGCTACATAACTTTCTCTAACATCACTTTTCAACTTAAGTTTTCAACTCAAACCGGAGAAAAGAACGGAGATTTAATAATCTAGAGCTCCACAGCAAGTTATCATTCCTCTCTAAACAGATGTCAATCATTGCTGCCTGGGGTTCTTTAGCCACATTGTTAGATATTCAACCCTAGTCCAGATATTTCCGTGACCAAATGACAATTCAATTTAACATTCTGTACATCTCTTCCTAAAACTTGAGAAACCTAAACAAAACATATTTATTCGAACACCTCTGAAAGCAACATTGAAATAAAACATTTCTTCATTTACCCTAAATTGCAATCTCCAGCTCAAAGGTTCTGGAAGAATCTATTGAGTCTCTTTCCAGGAAATAATGAGATATCTTTTTCTTTCCCTTTCTTTTAGGTTTAGATATCTTTTTCTTTCCCTTTCTTTATAGGTTTAAGTAAACTTATTAACAATAAAAGGAGCTTCAACAGGTTTTTTCCGGTACTTTGAAGCATAGTCATCCTTCTCCGAACTGAAGCTTTCAATTTAAACTTGTGTAAAACACTAGACTGGTTCATTGGTTTCCACTGCACATAATCTCCTAAACTCCATATATCATAGAATGCCTTTGCTTATAATTTTCTATAGATTCCCTTCCATCGTATAAGCCTGTGATTATAATTTTCTGTAGATTCCATTCCATTATGTAAAACAAATGAATAAATAGATAAATGATACAAAAAGAAGGAGAAGACGGGAAGTCCCAGAAAGAAAAGGGCAAAACGTCTCACAAGTCATAACCATTTAACAGCATAAAAGATCCCAACAAGACCCTTCTAAACAACATTCTGAAAATACCTACTATTTCTTCCCCTCTCTCAAGAACAGGACCACTTATGAAATATTGCAACTACAGAAACAAACATAAAGTTCACGGTGTCACTAATAAAGTTAGACTGGATCCAAATAAAATTTTGGAAATTGCTAAAATAACAAGAATTATTGCTAACGTAGTTAGGCACAACTTTCAAGATCTAGGGCTTTATGAGGGTCTCGTGTTTAATAGAACAGACTGGAAACGAGAAATCCATATAACCGGGCCCCAATTAATTTGGGATTAAGGCTTGTATTTGTTGTTGTTGTTGTTGCTAAAATAACAAGAATGAGAACTATTTGAGTACAAAAGAACTTTCTAGCACATAGTTTTTGAATTCCATCATTATGCTAAATATTTGTGTTCTCTACAACAAAGAGTATAATATCATGATGGAAAGTTGTATGGATGTTTGGAGCATATGAGCAATTTCCAAGACTTATCCTAAAAAGTACAATGATTGTATCCCTCGAGTGTTAGCTATGCTTCACGCCAGCTTGCTTCTAAATGTTCTTTTCACCGATAATCGTAAGTGTTTTCGTCTATAAAGTTTTTATGATCCAAACAGTCATAGCCTGGTAAAAGCAGTCTACATTCTATGAAGACAAAATATACTACGAATTTCAAGAGAATTTTCATTTAACTAATTTTCAGCACTTCCTGATAATAGAATAAATCGATTCATGTCTAAAGTAAAAGATAATCAAATAATAAGAAAACAATTGAACATAACGTTGAAACTTTGCATGCTAGAAAAGAGTTTTATAATCTTCTTTTTTTTTTTTTTTTTTTTGTTATAACTATTATGAAGAATAATGTCCAACCGGAGAAGACACACCAAAGTATGAAACAAAGTTTAAGATCATTGCAGATTGGTTTACTCATAAAGAATAAAATTGTGATTCAACTGTGTTAGGTTTTTGTTAATTGGCTGTGTTGGCAAAACAGTTTTTGAGTGTATAGTTTCAAAAACTAGGTTCTAGAAGGCATTATCCAGATGGCTGTTTTTTTGGAGAAGAAGAAAGTGCGGTCGTTTGAATTTGAGATCAGATTTTGTGCAGAAGAATCAGATTTGTTGACTTGAAGATTAGCTTGTGGTAAATCGGATAAGGCTAATATCCTTGATCAGCTGGTGGGTTATCTCCTGAGGAGATTTGATTCATTGAATTTTAAAAAAGGTGAATCCGTGAGTATTGGTAGGAAAAGCAAAAGGTGAGATGTTGTAGATAATGCGGAGAGGATTTTTTGGTAACTAACACAGGTTCAAAAGTTGAAGATACGTGGAATGCTTTTATAGGAAAAGTGGCTCTGCAGAAGAAAAGTGATTTTGATAACTACATAAAAGTCTAGTGTCAGAGAGACAGTGATTAAGAAGAACAATCTGTGGTTCTGTGTTTCATGTTGAAAGTTTGATTAACTGAAGGGAGTTCAGTAGTGAAAGGTGAAGACGTGTGGTACACGCTAAACAATGTCATTGTGAGAGTTCATCACAGCGGTGTCATAGTCTAAGAGGGAGTCCTTGAGTGATTAAATCCGTCAGAGTTGTAATTCTTAAAAATAGTGAAACTGTTTACTGTCTGGGCGTGGCCCCGCAGAGTAGGTGTGAGCACCGAACTGTGATACCATATTGCGTGTTCATTTATCTTTTATTCTTTATTGGTTTTACTGAGTTGTTTAATTTAATCAGTAGAGTAAACTGAATAACTAGTGTCCCAGACAGTGTTCCAACGTCATCTCGGACATCAGGCATAACATTAAGATCTATCAAACTGAAAAATTCATCCAAACGTACCATACAAATGGCAAAAACATATTTCAAAAAAATACACAATACCTTCTAAGCATAGTATCACTAATTTGGAAAGTACTTATACACCACAAACAAATTCTACTTCATGCTAATAATGCACATTTTCGTTTCCTGTAGTTCCAGATAACAAAATAAAAAACCTGCTATGACTACAGTACTTCAATCGCTCAACAACAGAAAGTTGTAGCTACAAGTAAACAGACAAACTTCACAAATCAAAAGAGGAATAAACCTGCTCAGGTCTAAGATGATGATGGAGGAGGAACAGTCGGTGACATCGACAAGGTTTCTCTTCGGAGTTCCTTAACAACAGCAGCCAAAGCCTCAGGGTTGAGACCCAAATCGCATAGAGCAATGAGCACAGAGAGGGTGTGGCGATCAAGCCCCGTCTCGAGTATATTCGACATGTGAAATGCCAGGTCCAGAGACTCCCGGGCGGTTTTCGCAGCCTTCGAATCCATGTTCAACAAAGCTTAATTTCCTAAAATCAAAGGCCATAAAAGAAAGATTTCTATCTCGAATAAGAAATCCCGTTTCAATTGGTAAAAATCGTCAATGAAACTCAATAAGAAAACCCTAAAACAAATCCTAATCAACTAGACTAGTCCACATCAATGGCATATAACATAAAAAACACAACATTTTGCAACCTTAATTTCCTCAAAATTGAATTCAACTACAAAACTTAAACCTGGAACACAATTGAAAAATAAAACAAATCGAATCAACAACGCAACTATGCTACTCCACATTAATAAGATATAATCACAACAAAAGCGACCTTAATTTCCTTAAAACTAAAATCAAACATTCAATTCCCATTACAAGTCGTTCGGAATCTTTGTCCAAATGGGAAAAATCTAAAACAAATCAAATTGCCAAAAAGAAGTAATTTTATTTCATCTAAGTTATAAACAGGAAACCAACCAGGAGAAAAAGTGATCGAGAAATAAAAAGCAAATTAAATGGAACGAGGGATTCCAGGGGTTGGAGACAAAGGGATAATATAAGTTGGTGCGAGAATCAATTTCCGAAATATGAAAAGGCAGGAAATCGAATCATGAAGATTGACTCGAAATCCAGGAAACTGTAAGAAATAATGGGGAAAAAAAATTTGCTTACCGGGGAATTTAATCAAACACTTAAGGCCATGTTTGTTTCATATCTCAAACTCAAATCATGAACAGCATTTTTCTCCCATAAAAAATTTAAATTTCAAACATATCATGATTTGAATATACCTTTCACCGGATAGGGCATAAACAAAAACAACACTCCCAAAAAACAATTTTAACATACACAGTCTTCATTTTCCCAAATTTCAACAGTTTTCAGAACCCCATTACCAAAAAAAAAAAAATCAACTTCATCAAATTAACACACAAAATGCACACCTTTCTCCACACCCAAAACGCTCATCACAACTTTTTGTACTTATGCTTTTTTTCTTTTGCCTTGGTTTGCAGAACGAATGAATTTGTTCAAGAATGAAAAAATCTGCTGGTTTCAATAAAAATTCAAACTTTCAGGAGCTATGGCAAAAAAAAAAAAGGAAAAACACACACGCGCACAAAAAGGAAATCTTCGGAGAGAAACAAAATTTGCACAAAGTAAAATGGGAAACTCAAAGCTGAGAAGATACCTGATCTGGGTGAAGAAAATCCCCAAATTCGGAAATGAAATTTTGCGAGAGGATTCTACTCTTGTGCGATTTTCTGTTTTGGACCCGTTTCGAAGCTAGATTCAAAATTCGGAACAGAGTATGGATATGAAATTTTTGGGAGCTACACGCATTTTTGCTCTTTTTTTTTTTTTTTTTTTTAAACTAGTTGAAAGCATATGTTAGGCACGTGTATTCAACATGTTACATTTTTTTTTAATATAAAGACCGTTTGGTTCACTAATTTAAGTTTTTAATTCGAGTTAAGATGTGATGTTGTGTGAGAGTTTTTTATTGTAGTAAAAAAATTAAATGTGACTATTTTTGAGAACTTTTTACTGTAATAAAACTCGAATTCTAAACTCAAATCAGCGAAAAAAATGGAACTAAATTATATTCGCTACCACGAGAATCTCAAAAAAAATTATCGATAAAGTATTACTTTTTTAACCGTTAATATTAATTTTTTAATGATTAAATATACAATAATTTTTAATATAAATTTAATTATTAAAAATTAATCTAATAATTAAACATAAAAATCTCATTAGTAGTTTTTTTTTTTGGATCTCACGGTAAATAAAAGCCTATAAAGATCTAAATTTTCTTCAAAAATTTTACATTTTTAACTTATTGTTCCTTAAGAGATTAGTTTAATAAAAATTAAAAAAAAAAGAAATAGAAAAAAAGTTAAGATAAAAGAATCATGAAAAGTTTTTAAAAAAATAAGAAAAGAAAAAAATGATGAAATGTGTCAAGAGGAAGGAGAATCCTTCTTATAATGACACGTGTCAATAAAAGAGAGAGAACTCTTTTATATATGTAAGGTGATGTAATGTAAAAATAAAGATTATTTTATTTTTCTATTTAAGTACATTTCAAATATTTTAGGATTCTTTAAAAAAAATAATATTTTAGGATTAATATCATTGATATTTCTTGAATTTTGGGGTTATGTTCATTTTACTTCTAAAACTTTGAAAACTCTCGTTGTCTCTTGAATTTTAAATTTTTCTTATTTAAATCCTTTGGTAAGAATGTTTGTTGAAATTAATCTGAAAAATAGATGGTTAAGTGTGAGCATTTAGTTTTTATCCTTTTTTTTTACATAAATTTAAACAGTTAAACCACATGATTGCATTATTCTCTTTTTTATATCTTTAATAAAAATTACAACAAAAAAAGTTAAATAAGAATAATTCAAAATTCAGAGGATAAAATGATAATTTTAAAGTTTAAGAAGCAAACGGAAAATTATTTTAAATTTATGAGGCATTAGTGATAATAATCTAATATTTTGAGATCAAAATTGACTATTTTTTTTTTAAAAAAAAGTATAAATTTGTGTATCAAACCTTATCTAATAGTATATATTTTATAAGATAAAAAATTAAAAACATTCTTTCTAAATAAATTTAAAAGGCGATTTGTGAAACGAATAAAACTTCTAACTTAGAAATAGTTCTTTTGGTCTACTCATTTTTTTTATTTTTTATTTTTTTTGTGTTTGGTCAGCTCTTTTGGGGTTGAACTTTGAAGAGGAAAACGTTTTGTTCCCGCTTTTCTTTTGAGGTTTTTTTATTATTTTTTAAAAAAACAATTAGTTGATTTATTTTTTTTAATTTTATAAGTAAAATCTTTTTTATTTATTTTTATTATTATTCTATAATATAATCATTTTTATTTAATTAATTAGAAATTGATATATTTAAATAATTTGTAATGGCATGCCACATCTAAAGATGAAAACTCGAATGAGGAAGTTATAAACGTTACGATAAACTTAAAAATTTTAAAAGAATACGATAATCTGTGAATTTTATGTTAGAATTTATAAATTCGAACGATTCACCGTATTCTTTCAAAATTCACAATTTTATCGTAATTTTTATAATTTTATCATTCGAGTTTATAAATTCTTAAAATTTCATAAATTATTATATCTCTCGACACAATGACGACAAATTTTCTCCCGGCGGCATAAAAGTTTCCTGTTTCTCATCTAAAAAAGGAGAAATATATTATTTATAATTGTGATATGTGGTTTGCCATGCAGCACCAGCCTGTACTCCTTGGTCCTCGTCAGACCAAAATCATAACCAGAGAAAATCCTCATTTGTGTTGACCAACCAATTAAATACTCTGGAAATGACGAAATGAGCCATATGATCATCCACTATATCACACACCGACCATGGACATTCTAGTAATTTCATATGAAACTTAGCGTTACCCGCCACATTTGCCTTCTTCAAAAATACAACCTTATTCTTACAGCTTTTCCCAGTCCCCATATAATATTTTCCAGCTCCATACTTTCAATGTCATTTAGGAAAAACATAATAATAATAATAAAAATAACAAATACAAAATTACGAAACTACCCCTCCCTTATCTTCTCTCCATGTTGTTGCGAACATTTTGGAGGGAGAGAGAGAGAGAGAGAGAGAGAGAGAGAGAGAGAGAGAAATCGTTAACTGTTTTTTTGGTTGTTGGAATGACGAGGTTACAGCGAAGAAGAACATTTTCAATATTGTCATCCTAGTTTTTTTTTTTTTTTTTTTTTTTTGGTTTCTCTCTCTAGTTTCTCTCGACTTTCTCTCTCTAACTTCTGGAGGTGATTGATGGGAACGTTTCAGAGCTTCAGGAAGGCCTATGGAGCTCTCAAAGACTCCACCAAGGTTGGCCTTGCAAAAGTCAACAGCGAATTCAAGGTAAATTTCAAATATTTACGTAACGCTTTCTTAATTGATCACACTTTTTTTTTTTTCAATCTTGATACCATTTTTTTTTTTTTTCATTATGTTTTGTTTTATAAGGATTTGGATATTGCCATTGTTAAAGCCACCAATCACGTCGAGTGTCCCCCAAAAGAACGCCATGTTCGAAGTGAGTTTATCAAATACACATAATATATATATATATATACATATAGATATATATTTTTCTTTGTTTTTTGATCGATTCAATATTTATATTTATTTTCTCTATCAATATTATTGACCTGTTTGTTTTATGGATATGAACCACAATTCAAATCTTTTTGTTACAATATTTTTTTTCAACAAAATATAAATTCTGTTCAAACTTATCAAATTATTTGTTGTAAAGTGTAATACGGTTTGTTGTGCATGGGTTGATTTTTGGCTTTTTCTTCTTTTTGAGTTCTGTTGGATTGGATTTATGTTAATAGAATTTTCTTTTTTTTTCTTCACTTCCTTTTTTTTTTTTTTTTGGGTAATTCTTGTGTTATCTGATTAGAAATTTTCTCTGCAACATCGATGGTGCGTCCACGGGCGGATGTGGCATATTGCATTCACGCTTTGGCTAAGAGATTGTCGAAGACGCGAAATTGGATTGTAATGTTTTCTTCTTATTCTTCTGTTTCTGTTGTTTTTGTTAATAGCATCACCTAAAAATTGCAGCAAAAAAACAGAAATTTGATACATTAATAGCAATGCAAAATATGAATGTTAGAACATGTGGGTGTAGCACGGTGATGTGACACCATGCTGAGATGAGTCATAAATCGAGAAATCGATTGGCAGAGCTCATGAGCCGTCTCATTGGTATTTAAGTGTGCAAAAAAAAAAAAAAAAAAGGAGAGAGAAATATTTTTTTTCCATGCTTGAAATATTCTAGTTTATTCTTTAGGACACTCCGAGTTCGAGTCTTACTACAAAAACGCCGAATTTTTCGACTAATGAGAATCATAGGCTGTTCTCTTGGAAAGAAAAATGACTTTCGGACATACTTTTGTTTTTTGTTTTTTTTTTTCCTCTTCTAAATGCTTAAATATTGGAATTGTTGTTGGAACTTGGTTATTTGTGAAATTATAGCAATCTTTAACAAGTGACTGTATGCAGGTTGCCATAAAGGCATTGATTGTGATTCACAGGACACTAAGAGAGGGTGATCCAACTTCTAGAGAGGAGCTTATGAACTACTCATATAGGGCACATGTTATTCAAATGTCCAACTTTAAAGACGAGTCAAGCCCTCTTGGTACATTTATTTTATTTTATCTTCGTACAAATTAAACGTCATTCATTTCTTAGACATCATAATCTCCTTGCAGCTTGGGACTGCTCCGCTTGGGTTAGGACTTATTCGCTCTTTCTAGAGGAGCGGATGGAGTGCTTTCGTGTCTTGAAGTACGACGTTGAGACCGAGCGCTTGACAAAATATGCACCGGGAGCTTCCAAGGTCCTTGCTATGAGAAGACGTTTGGTTGATGGATTCAGAATTATGATTCGATAACCATTTTCGGTTTACGTGTGTTTTTTGTGAGAGAAAATAATATAGCGAACTACAAACCATGATTCAAATCATGACACGAATCTACCAACCAAACGCAATTTCATACCTCAAATCCCACTCCAAGTCCCACAATTATCTTTTGAATAACAATATGCTTACTTCATTGCTCAACAGGTGCATAGCAGAACACGGATGTTGGGTCGCATCGAGCTGTTGGAGCAGCTTCCTGCGTTGCAGCAGCTTCTTTACCGACTCATTGGGTGTCAGGTAATGATGACAAGAGATCATGTGTGCAAGTATGATCCTTGGAATGTGAAATTACAAGTAGTATTTGGTTTAGAGAATCTTCTTCTCATCGAATTCGGTACAATTCTGTTATCCTTCGAATAGGCTATCTAACTTGCTGTGGTTTTGCAGCCCGAAGGAGCAGCTTATAGCAATTATCTCATACAGTATGCTTTGGCCCTGGTATGTTGGGACAATGTTACTTTTTCAGAAATATATCCACACATAATTGCTTGTCTTTCTTGTACGCCGTCTTACTTTCGAATTTTGAGCTCGTATTGCCAATACATTCTTGTCTACCGCGAATGAATTCCTTAACTAGAGCTTTAAACCTTAAACTTTTTGTGTCTCAAATTCATCTAATAATACACTTCTCTAATTCTTTTGCTGCAATCTAATAAAAGTTCTGATGTGGTACTAATACTACAAGCATAATTTGTGGGCCCCGACCATTATACTCTTCTTTTCAATATCTATAATTTTGCTAACTTTTTACTTGTCACTTACTTATTTTGCGAAGAGGTACTTAAATAAGAATGAATTTACACTTTCTAAGTTTCCACACTGTTATTCATGTAGGTATCTAAGTTTCCACACTGTTATTCATGTAGGTACTGAAAGAGAGCTTTAAAATATACTGCGCTATCAACGACGGGATTATAAATCTTGTGGACATGGTAAGGTTCTACTTCAGTGTCGTGTTTAATTTCTTTCAAATATGCGTTTGTTTCATAGATTAAAACTACTGTTTAAACTTTTTTGCTACAGTATTTTTTCTTATAAAATTTAAATTTATGTTCAAAACATATGAACCAAACGGGTATTTTTCCGTTTTTGACCAATAATTTAGTGTAATTATACATCCTCCTACAGTTCTTTGACATGTCAAGACATGACGCAGTTCAAGCTCTTGAAATTTACAAGAGAGCAGGTCAACAGGTATAGACAATGATTTTTTCTTCTTCCGAGAATCTGATCATTTGGCGCCATCATACCGGAGAAAATGAAAAACTATATTGAATCCTTTACATAGGTCCTTGAAACTGTCTTTATTTTCGGAACTTTTCCCTGTGCAGGCTGAAAATCTGGCCGACTTTTACGAATATTGCAAGGGATTGGATCTTGCTAGGAATTTCCAGTTTCCTACATTAAGACAGGTCTCATTTGTTCCTGAAAGTAAATTTGATCTTTTTGATACCATTGTATGGTCTCTCACGAAATTTCTCTTATCTACTTTTCAGCCACCTCCATCATTTCTTGCAACAATGGAGGAATATATCAGAGAAGCGCCGCAATCGGGTTCTGTTTACAAGAGACTGGTAAGAAAACTTTAGCCATGCATTTGAATATGGAGCTTTTTTGCTTAAATGTCTTGAATCTTAGCTTATATGAATCATGGTATGACGAATCATGGTTTATCTCAGTTCATAATGTTAAAATGTTGTACCATTTCTCCTACATTATTGCATCTTTCCTTCATATTTTGTAAATGTAACTTTTATCCTTAATACTTTTCTAAGAATTTCAATTATTTCGCCACTTTATAAGAAAAATTATAAGTATGTCCCCACTCAATAATTGAAATATACACCTATATTTTTATTCAATGACAAATTATTATTTTCTAGGGCCGCCACTTATCTTGCACATTTATTTTAGGCGTAAAATTTTGCAAAATTAAAAAAAAAAAAAAAAAAAAAATGAAAGGTTGCCTCTTCTGCTAATTTTTCTGAGGTGTGAACCTCTTATATGTTAATGCATAACCGTGATACTATAGCATTCTATCTAATTGCCTTTATGTGATGTATGTGTTATTATGACAATAGATGTACTGGGAGGCTGAGGCTGAGGCTGAGCAACAACCTCAGAAACTTGAAGAACCTTCAGAAACCGAAAAACAAGTAGAGCAAATCGACGAGGAAAAAGCGCCGGCGGACACAGTGGAAGAATCCCAACTGAAGGACGGAGTTGAAGCCCCGCCATTGATATCGATGGAAGAGCCCGATTTGCTAGTACGGTCTAATTCACAAGCTGCTGTGCTTTCTTTGCAGTTGGTTTTCTGTTTCCAATAGGTGGTGGCTCTTTAATCTCTTTTGCAGGGTCTGAAAGAAGTGAATCCAAAAGCTGCAGAAATAGAGGAAAGCAATGCATTGGCTCTTGCTATAATTCAGCCTGGTATGCTCAAATTTTTTTACTTGTATTTTTAGTAGTTTAACACTCTTCTCCCTCTAAAAAAAATGTGGTAACAAATCTTTTTCATCTTTGAAATTACGCAGGGAATAATCCGCCATCGACAAATCAAGGTTTGAATGACCTTCTTGGCTCTTCGGGTTGGGAATTAGCATTGGTTACCGCGCCGAGCAACAACACTAGCCACGCAGTAGAAAGCAAATTGGTTAGTTTCCTTTGCCATTTTTAAGTGACTATGGAATCATTCGTGGCATGAATAGTAATCCTGGAAAATAGCTTGCCTAGTCAATTATTATTTTAAAATGATTATTTTCTGGGGTTGGCCTTGTTATACTGTTTCATTCTTTCACAATCATTTACACAAATTTCTTAAGGCCATTTTGGCCTAAATTTGCATAGTTTATCCTATGATTTCATTTTTTTTCGCGTTCAGGCCGGCGGTTTTAACAAGCTATTGCTCGATAGCTTGTACGAGGATGACGCAGCTAGGAGACAGATACAGCTGCAGAATGCAGGATATGGACATGGTGGAATGAGCGTCCAGAATCCTTTCGACGGCCAGCAGGACCCGTTCATGATGTCGAACAACATAGCTCCGCCGCCCAACGTTCAAATGGCGAAAATGGCCCAGCAGCAGCAGCAGCAGCAACAACCATACCAACATAACATGATTATGGTCCCTCACCAACATTCACCTCAATATCCCCAACAATGCCAATACCCTCAACAACATTTGCAACAAATGGGTTCTTCAAATCCATTTGGCGACTCTTTCAGCTTCCCTCCAAGTACAACGCCACAGCAAGGAAACCATGGTCTGATATAGGATTCAATTTTTTATTTTTTGTTTTTTGAGATTTCTTATAGTTATTTTTACCATTTCTTTGGATAGGAGAATTATTTGGTTTGCTTCAAGTCTGTGTATGTGCTTGGAGAACGCTTAATAAGTAACAAATACAACAATCTTTTTTTTTTCCCTGAATTTAAATATCTTAAGAGCAATTCAATTCTAGGTTAAGTCAAAGATACAAATTACAATCCCAATGAACTTGTCGTTTAGGTGCCGTCTATTTTGATGCAAAATCATGAATTCATGATATGTGTTGACGGTGTTTTTCCGACAACTCGTAATTACCTCTTACAAAAACACTCACGGTTCAATCAAAGATAAAAACTGAAAAATAATGTAAAGGAGACAATAATTTTATAGTGGTTCGGCAATAATTCTTTGTCTAATCCACTTGTGCATGCACTAATATTTCAGCTGGTTACAAGCTCCCTAGTTCTAATGAACTGGTGCGTAAAAACCCCCTTCCCTTGGTTTTCTTGGCTCTATTTATATGCATTTACATGTGAATACGTATTTCCCGTTCCCAAGGAAGAAGCCATCTTCTGCCCTCGATCCGCATGAGGGTAGGTGGGTTTTCATGATGACTGCTCCGGAAAACGCGGCTGATCCTTCCTATCTGCCGCCTGATTTCCTAACTCATGCAGTAGCAGTCGGATCAATACTTCTCTCTTCGAGTTGACAAGACCGTGGCTGGATTTGACTAGACTGCTTCCGGTCTGATCTAATTCCTGACTCCTTGACACAAAGGCTTCAAAGGGCTTTTAGTAGACTTCTCGACTTCAAAGACGCAAAGGCCTTGAGAGGACCTTAAGCACTTCTCGACTCCAACACCTTGACTCCTCGACGCAGAGGCTTCAAAGGGCTTTTAGTAGACTTCTCGACTTCAACGACGCAAAGGCTTTGAGAGGACCTTAAGCACTTATCAACTCCAACACCTTGACTCCTCGACGCAGAGGCTTCAAAGGGCTCAGTAGACTTCTCGACTTCAACGATGCAAAGGCCTTGAGAGGACCTTAAACACTTCTCGACTCCAACACCTTGACTCTTCGACGTAGAGGCTTCAAAGGGCTTAGTAGACTTCTCGACTTCAACGATGCAAAGGCCTTGAGAGGACCTTAAGTACTTTTCGACTCCAAGAGCGCTCCTCAACCTAGAGACATCTCCCTAAATGTTAGTTCTCGACATCAAGGATTTGTCCTGACTTTCGGAGCTCTCGACGCATACGATAAAAGTTGGTGGCTTGAATGGTCGACCATGGTGTAACAATATGAATATCACATCATCCTAACATGGGACGATACAAAATATGCTATGAGTGTTCTCGCTTTCTGAATAGAATCCAGGGAAAAGACAATTATATATTATCTAATCACTTTTCGGATTTTGTAAAATGTTGTACAGTGCACCTATATTATATTATATATTTATATTTATGTTTATATTTCAAATTTTATATAATATACATGTTTTTAGTGCATAGCTTGATTTATTTAAAATAACGGTTATATAAATTGTTTAAAAAAAGAGAGAGAAAAAGGAAAAAAAAAGACATAAGAAATGAAGACAAAAACGGGAAATCATCTGAAGCAAAAGACAAGAAAATATATTTTAATTTATTTTATTGTGTTTTAAATTAATATTATTTTGTTTTGTTTAATTTGTTTTTTATTTAGTTTGCTGTGACTTTATTTTATTTTAGTGTATTTTTATTTTTTATTCAAATTACTTATAGTACTTTTATATAAGAGGTATTGAAAATTTAGTGCAAAACGGTGTTAAAGTGAACAAAATCGGACCACAAATTAATTCAAAATTAATAAATAAGTATAAAAAAATGTTAAGAACACAAAATCAAATTTCACCTCTTATATACCAACTGATATGGTATGTGAGTTGTCATTTTTCTATTAGTGAATATTTAAAATATTATCACGTCAATTAATGAAAGAGATTACATTCATGTGCTACATCATCAGTTGGTATACAAAAATTAAGATTTGAATTAGTGTCTCTAACATTACCCATTAATATAATAATGATAATAAATAAATAAATCGTAAATTTTGAATTGGTTGTACTAATACTTGAGTTTTGAATCGTATCCTGATTTTTTTTTATTTTTTTAATTTAATTGATTTTATGCAATTGAATATGAATAATTAGAATTAAATATAAATAATTACGAAGAATGCGTTATCGGGTAATTAAAAAGATATATAAATAAAAGTGAATCATCTATAAGTAGCAATAAATTTAAAAACAAAGTAGGTATGGTGTGGAAGGAAGACCTCAAAGAGAGAAAGCTTCGGCAGACATGGCAGTTAGGGACGGATCTCACTGTGTGCTCAGGGGAGGGTCAAGGATCCCCACTGTAGAAATTCAAAGGAGTTACTCGAGTAGACGGGAAACCATTAACTCGAGAATAGGTGGGAAACTCGAGTTCATTTTTGAATTTGGTCTCGAGTAAACATACGCCGAACTTTAACTTGGGCCAACTTTCTTCACTTGAGTGGGCTTTCTCGAGTAAATACATGCCATCGAACAGGGCAAAACTCAGAAAAACATAAGTTATATGATTTCCATCTAAACTTTAACAAAAGTTTAATCAATGGACTAAATTTGAGACAGTTAAGTTAGAATATTTTTAAATACATGAACTAATTGTAAAAAGAGAAAAATGAATTTAACTATTTTTAATATGAACATCTACATGTCAAACCATTAGAAAACTATGATTAAAAACTGCAGTTTTCACCGGTTGGACATTTCCTACACACAAAAGTCCCTTTTTCTTTTTTAGAAAATTTTCCCCTCTCACTTCTTGGTACAACTTATGGAATGTTTGTTTCAAGGTTCGTCTCTAATTCTGAATCATGGTTCTTAATTTTCTATAGTGTTTTACTCTCACAAAAAATTTAAATTTTAAAAATTAAAATCATGAATCATGATTCTAAATATATGGATCAAATGTCTCATTATTTTTTTTTAAGTCTCTTGTGTGAGACTCCTAAAAAAAATTCACTAATGAACACTATATTTTGATAATTGAATTAAGTTTTTAACAATTAAATTTATATAAATTTAAATTTAAATTTTACAGTACGTAACTTTCTTTATATTCCACCAATAAGTTTTTTAGTAGGTTTCACGTAGAATTTTTTCCCTCTCTCTCTTCTCGATCCAACATTAAACTTATAAAACGTTTAGAAAGAGAATTTGTGCTATAATTCGAATCATAATTCGTAGTTCGCTACAGTATTTTCTCTCATAAAAAATATACTTAAAATAAAAATAATTCTGAATCATACTTTTAAATTTATAAACTAAACGTCGTCTTACTCCTTTTTTTTTTTTTTTTGAAACCATAGGTTTCACGTAGAATTTTTTCCCCCTCTCTCTTTTCGATCCAACATTAAACTTATAAAACGTTTGGAAGGGGAATTTGTGCTATGATTCGAATCATAATTCATAGTTCGCTATAGTATTTTCTCTCATAAAAAATATACGTAAAATAAAAATAATTCTGAATCATACTTTTAAATTTATAAACTAAACGTCGTCTTACTCCTTTTTTTTTTTTTTTGAAACCAACATAACTTACAAATAAATAGTAGAGATCGAGACTGGAGAGATCATCTAAACGGCATTCTTAACCTCCACGTAAACCAATCTTTTATTACACACGTGACACCCCCACTACCTTACGCAGTTAACCTTTTATTTTTTATTTTTTTTTTCTGCTTGAACTTATTATTTTTAATGAAATTTAATAATTATCTTAATAAAATTATTTAATTAGTATCCACTTCGCCGTCTCCATCCACAAAATCCTCTCCTCTCTCCAAAAAAAAAAAAAAAAAGAGAGAGAGCAAAACTTCCCTTCTCTTTACTCTCTCTAATGGCTAAACTTCTCTCCCAAACCCTCACTCTCCGGCGAACACAGCTGAGCCTAAACCAGCTCCGGCGATTCCGATCGACTCTCTCCGGAAACGGCCGCCTGACCGAGATAGAGCTATCGCCGTCGTCTTCGGAGGGCGGCGAATCGGAGGCGTTGATGCTGAAGAAGCTCGACGACATTGTGCACAGGTTCATCGTCCAGAGGGCCACTCCCGATTGGCTCCCCTTCCTCCCTGGCTACTCCTTCTGGGTCCCACCTCGCCGCGGCTCCATGAAGTTCGCCGACTTTGTAGGCAAGATCGCCGACCACCTCTCCGACGAGGAGTCACTCTCTCTCTGCTCCGATCGCGGCTGGCCTTCCTCGAGGTTCTTCGTTGACGGTACGTGTTCCGTCTCTCTCGGCTTTATGTTGATTTGTGTTTATGTTTGGATGGTGCGAAAGTGAGGGAAAAGGGAGAAATTATTGTTTCGGTGAATTACGCAATTCGAAGAATTGGGTTGTAGTGTAAGAATGGGAAAGGTTGCTACTTTATTGTGTATTTTGTGCTCCGTTTGGTTGGTGAGAGAATTCGGGATAGAAAAACTAGGGTTTGGATAGAAGAGGAAACTTTGTTTCGGTGAATTACGCTATTCAAAGAATTGGGTTGTAGAGTAAGAATGGGAAAGGTAGCTACTTTATTGTGTGTTTTGTGCTCCGTTTGGTTTTTGAGAGAATTCGGGATAGAAAAACTAGGGTTTGGATAGAAGAGGAAACTTTGTTTCGGTGAATTACGCTATTCAAAGAATTGGGTTGTAGTGTGAGAATGGGAAAGGTAGCTACTTTATTGTGTGTTTTGTGCTCCGTTTGGTTGGTGAGAAAATTCGGGATAGAAAAACTAGGGTTTGGATAGAAGAGGAAACTT